GCATGCAAGGCAAGCGCTCTACCACTGAGCCACCTTCCCAGCCCCTAAGGCTGAATTCTTATGTGAAGGTCTTCAATCCATTTTGAATTGATTTTTGTGCAAGGTGTGAGGGGTAGATAGGGGTCTCATTTTAGTCTTTTATGTATAGATAACCAGTTTTCCAGTATCATTTATTGAATAGGGTGTCTTTTCTTCTCATGTTTGGCATCTTTGTCCAGAGTCAGATGGTTATAGCTGCATGGCTTCCTGTGTCTTCTATCACATGTGTCTGCTTTTGCCCCAGTGCCATTATTCTATGGCTTTTGTTGTATAATTTGTGGTCAGATATGATACCTCCAGCATTGTTCTCTGTGATCAGGATGTCTCTAGCTATTTGGGGTCTTTTATGTTTCCATATGATTAATTTCCCCCCTGTTTTCTGTGAAGAATGTTATTGTGATTTTGATGCATTGGATCTATAGACTGAATTTGGTATCGTAGCCATTTTCACAATATTAATTCTGCACATCTATGTGTATGGATCTTGTAATGCCTGCCTCGGTTTTTAAGTATAGAGTTTTGCCAAAGGCTCTTTCTCCATCCATTGAGATGATTATGTGATTTTTTTTGTTCTTTATTCAGTTGATGTACTGTATTATTGATTGATTTCAGTTGATGTACTGTATTATTGATTGATTTGTGTATTTGAGCCATTTTTGCATCCTTGAAATGAAATCAACCATAGTGCATGATCTTTTTAGCATGTTGTTCAACTTGGTTTGCAAGTATTTTATTGGAGAATTATGTGTTTGTGTTCATTGTGGCCATGTGGAAGAGAATCTCAGGAGAACCAAGGAAGTAGGGAAATAATTAAAACGAAGAGAAGGGAACCATTATGGGCTAGATTACTGAGTAGGCAGTCTCCATAGGTCTCAATGATTGTCTGGAGTTATACCAATCCTGCGGCCCCGTAAGTGTGATTGATGGCTGTTAAGTGGGTGTGCTAAACCTTTTGTACTTGTGGTCCATTCTGAACATAGTCCCGTGGGCTGTGGCAGCCAAAGGAAGCCTTTACACAAAGAGTCACAATTGCTTGCAATGAGATGCTGTCAGGTTTTTCTTCACAAGAGTAGTAAGCGGGCTGGGAATGTGGCTCAGTGGTAGAGCGCTTACCTAGCATGCATGAAGCCCTGGGTTTGACTCCTCAGTACCACATACACAGAAAAAGCTGGAAGTGGCGCTGTGGCTCAAGTGGTAGACTGCTAGGTTTGAGCAAAAGCAGCTCAGGGACAGAGCCCGAGGCCCTGTGCTGGATAAACAGGGAAGCAATGTGAATCCTAGCCCTGGATTTCCTCAAGACTTTGGAGATGCGATACTAATAGAGCTGATGCATGGTCTTTGATTTATTCTTGAAATGGACTTAGGAGTTGTTTGGAGTCAGTGGCCTAGCTGTTTTGATCCTCCAAGACCCCGCTGTGAGGAGGGAGGGCCACAGCGCAGCCTGGCTCTCCAGGAATTAAATGTAAGTACAGCTGTCAGCCATCCCCTCATGTTTGTGTCTCCCTTCCACCCGTGCATGGTCGGCCTTGACGGTTTCGTGTTTCTACTAGGGATGGACGAGGTAGGCTGACATGCTAGTGGAGGTGCTAAGGTGGGGTCCCCGCGGGACTCACTGGACACGTTAGAAACCAACCCCAGTCCTCAGGGTAGTACTGCCCGAGCTGGACACCGGTGGAGCCGAGCGGTGCAGGTGGCGGCGCAGGCGGTGGTGCGGTGCAGGTGTTGCGGTGCAGGCAGCGGTGCAGTGCAGGCAGCGGTGCGGTGCAGGCGGCGGTGCGGTGCAGGCGGCG